TGATTATTACTCCAAACTTGGTCTTCAAATAATTTTTATATAAAGTTTTTTTTCTAATAATACGGAAGGTATGCATGACAATCGTATGACAATTTGTTTAATCATTTAAATTCTATATTTCTTTATCTTCAGACCAGTCGGACGTCACTACAGTGTTTGTATCAGAAACTTGTCTGAAACTCGTGAGGTGCATTACTAAGTATCTTACCGGTCAGAAACTTGGTATGTTACTCAAGGTTTTTTACCTACTCACTACTGGCCACACTCCCTTGTACCAACTTCGCCTACAGAGTCATCGGTCAGCAGAAAATTTCATTAATAGTAGTTGGGTAGTAGTAGTAATGTAGTATCCCGATTGGAAATCTATCAGGATGGTATATGGCATAACCATTAAAAAAGCGCGGTTTTGTTTAAAAGTTATTTACTAATATGGAATAGAAAGAGACATAAAAATGTTCATAGCAATAAAATTATGTTGTTGTAAAGTAAAATCAGTAGTACTTGAAAAAGTAATTTTAAGTACATTACCAGGTTTTATCACACGAAATATAATGGTCAAGCCGAATTTATCACAGTCTATAAGATCGAAAGAGAGGTCAGTCTTGCTCGTTTCTCTCTCTTGCTCTCACAGGATCAAGTGGTGTTTTGTCTTTTGTCGTACTATTCGTTTCCATACGATATTAGCTTTATAGAGAAATTTTCTTTTTAGATTACTTATTAAACACTTTATTTTACTGTTATAAAAAGTTTTATATTGTATAAAGCCTTATCTTTAAGTACAACTTGAAAAACAACGGTTTTACATGGTTATGTCATACCGTTCTGAATTCTTACTTAGGGTGCGTTCAGATGCAACATCAATAGTAGTGTACAATGCAATAAAAGCAATACTATCTATAGAAGAGGGAAAAAGAGCATTGCTACTGCAGCCGGGAGTAATTTAGCAGTGTGCCCTGTTCTTATGGGGCGTCAATACTTTTCTGTAATACATTTGTATGCGCGAGTGCGAGAAAGAGGGCGAAAGATGCGTCATCTTTTTCGTACCTGTGCATTCAAATGGATTGCAGAAAAGTATTGACGCCCCATATGAACAGTACACTGTTAAATTGCTCTCGGCTGCAGTAGCAATACTTTCCCCCCTCTTCTCAAGATAGTTCTGCTTCTAAGCTTCTATTGCATTGCACTCTTTATTGATATTGCGACTGAACGCACCCTTTTACTACCACACTATTGGAATTTTCATTCACAAGATTGCATGAGCGCTCATCGAGATATAATAATATAGGGCGTTAAACCCTCACAACCCTGTACCTACTATTTGTGTCCAATGCTGCAAAAATTCTTTGCATGTCTTTAACTCCTGTGATTGGAAAGAAACACACAGAGAATCTTTGCACCGATCTCTCTTGCACCAATGAAAACATCGACTAACAGGGTTATGTGGATTTAGTGGTCTCTATTATAAGGTTTGTTCATTTATCCACCTTAGAGCACTCCGAGCGCTCCGAGGCCTCCGAGCGATCTATAAATGAACATAAGTTCTTTGTCAGAGTACTTAGAGGCCTCCGAGATATCTTTATACTTTATAGGTATACTCACTATAACTGCTCAGTATTTACAAACATCAGCTATAAGCGGTGAGTATACCTATATAGCATAAAGATATCTCGGAGGCCTCTAAGTGCTCCGACAAAGAACTTGTGTTCATTTATAGATCGCTTGGAGGCCTTAGAGCGCTACAAGGTGGATAAATGAACAAACCTATTATATCTCTATCTAAGGGCTCTGCGCCAGATACAGTTAGTCAGGGTCGTAATCTGGAATTCGTGGGAGAAATTATTTGGATAGGATTTTTTTGTATGATCTTACGCAAAATGATCACCTAAAAACGAATTTGCATGTTGCCAGACTTCAAAGTTGTAGGAAAAATGTTTAAACAAAATTTTTTAAACAAATTGAAAACATTGTTTATTTTGCACTGGAAAAAATTTTTTTAGCTTTTTTGGACAATTCTAAACAAAAAAGATGTCTTGCAAATTTTCTCTAAAATCAATACTTTTCGATATATTAATTGTACAAAGTTTAAAAACCGTAAAAATCGCCACTTTCAAGTATGAAAAACAACAATAAAAATTAAAAATTTTGATGTTGCCAAGGTTCTCAAATATTCTTCAAACATCCCTTGACAAAATCCTAAGGGGTTTCCGGATGTTATTTTATTGCAAACCCTTTATTTTTAATTTACAATCAAGCGTGTGCATCGTTACGGTCGGCCGCTGCTGGCCGCGGCTCTCATGCTCCGTCTCTTTCCCACTCACGAGGAGTACACGGAATTTACTGGCGCTCA